AGTCAGTGGTAAATATGGGTATATTTGAAAGCCAATTTAAATACTGAAAAATGCAAAGTATTCACTAATTCTAGGCATCACTTGACCAAAATTTAATATCAACTTAAGAAAAACAATAAAATGTTTGATCTCAAAGACATAGGTGTTAGCAAAATCATTTTATAAATAACTTTTAGGGTCTCCACAGTTACACAGTGAAACCATGCAATATAAGATTCTAAGATTGGATTAATGCTATTATCTTGAGGAAAAACAAGAAAATTCTAGACTGGCACATACTAGTATGCATCTTTAAGACCTTGCAACACCAACAACATACTGAAAACTTTTCACAGGAACTTTGCCCAGTAATCAATATTTTCAAATACTAGATACAAAGTGGAGAAAAGGTGCTGAATTTAAATTGACTATAAAACTAACAACACATTGAAAAAATCATTAATATATCACTAACAATCTGTAAACATACACATACTCATTTGTATTCTGTTTATCAGTTTTATTCACGAGAACATTATTTTCCCACTATTAAACAAGACTTTGTGCTCTCAGAAAATTAATTCGCACATAAAATAGTATTTTTTGAGATTAAAAAGAGTATTGACACCAATTTGTGAAAAATGTGTCTATTTAAAAAAAGAGTCAATGACAATGTTGTGAAAATAAGGTAAAATAATTGCAAAAATTATGTGATCTACAGTACATGTATATATAACAACTTTTTAGGTCACCTGAGTAAACTCAGGTGACCTATTGCTATCCGTTTTCGTCCGTCGTCGTGCGTCGTTCGTCGTGCGTCGTGTGTTAACATTTGAACATTTTCAGCTTCTTCTCTGCAACCACTCAACCAATTTCCACCAAATTTTACACAAAGCATCTATGGGTGAAGGGGAACAAAAATTGTGAATTTCATGATCCCTGCCCACCTGGGGCCTGTGGGATGGGGCCAAAACCACTAAAATTAGTGCAATCTTTAAAAATCTTCTTCTTTACTCCTGGACATCAAGCAGTCAAACTGTTAGCATGAATGTAATGACCATTGAGTCCTCTACCAAAATTGTGAAATTCATGGCCCCAGGGTCAGGGGTTGTAGTGCTAGGGCGGGGCTCTATTGATCATATAGTGAAAATGCATTATTTCTTTAAAAATCTTCTTCTCTGCTCCTGGGTATTAAATAAACTAATTAAAGACATAATTATGATGAGAAAGAATGCCTTTTGCAAAATTGTGAATTTTATGACCCCAGGGTCAGGGGTTCTAGTGTAAGGGAGGGGGGCTCTATTGATTATATAGAGAAAATGCAGAATTTGTTTGAAAATCTTCTTCTCTGCTCTTGGGTATTCAAAGAATTAACTAAGTATATAGTTATGATGAGCAAGAATGCCTCTTCCAAAATTATGAATTTTATTGCCCCAGGGTCAGGGGTTCTGGTGTTAGGGTGGGGCTATATTGATTATATAGAGAAAATACAGAAATTGTTTGAAAATCTTCTTCTCTGCTGCTTGGTATTCAACGAATTAACTAAGTATATAGTTATGGTGAGGAAGAATGCCTCTTCCAAAATTGTGAATTATATGGCCTCAGGGTCAGGGGTTCTAGTGTTAGGGTGGGGCTCTATTGATTATATAGTGAAAATGCATTAATTCTTTGAAAATCTCCTTCTCTACTCCTGAGTATTAAATAAATCAACAAAAGATATAGTTATGATGAGGAAGAATGCCTCTTCCAAAATTGTGAAATTTTATGGCCCCAGGGTCAGGGGTTCTGGTGTTTGGGTGGGGCAGCTGGGGTGGGGCTTTATTGATTATATAGAGAAAATACATTATTTCTTTTAAAATCTTCTTCTCTGTTCCTGAGTATTAAATAAACTCAATAAGTACATAGTCATGATGAGGAAGAATGCCTTTGTGAATTTTATGGCCCCAGGGTCAGGGGTTCATTTGTTAGGGTGGGGCTCTATTGGTTATATAGAGAAAATGCAAAAATTGTTTGAAAATCTTCTTCTTTGCTCCTGGGGATTAAGCAGATGGACTACCTATATAGCTATGATGAGCAAGGGCCATTCTTCCTGAATTGTGAATTTCCACACCCCTGGGTCAGGGGTACCATAGAGGGTGGTGGGGGGCTCTACTTATATACTGAAAATGAATTAATTGATTGAAACCTTCTACTTTGTATTAATCAAATATTTTTGATAAGCAAGGGTGCCTTTTCCAAAATTGTGAAATGTGTGGACCAAGGGTCAGGGGTTCATGTATGGTAGTGGCACTATATTGATTATTGCTGAATATTACTGATTAGTCGAAATGCATTTTTTGTTCCCCTACTCTGTCTGTGGGTATTAAGTAACCAAACTAAACATGCTAAGTGAATAGTTATGATGTCTTTTTCAAAATTGTGAATGCCATGGTGTCTAGTTTAAAACATGAACCAATGTCAATCATTGTAAAGTTGTTGCATGATGCTCAGGTGACCTATAAGGCCCATGGGCCTCTTGTATATTAATACAGTCTTTTTTCAAATTATTAATCAAGAAAATCTTCATTCTGAACATTATCTAAAATGTGTATTTATATGTCAAAATATGTAAAAAAAAAAAAAAAAAAAAAAAAAAAAAAAATCTGTTACATAACAATTTAGTTCAAATAGCTAGACTTAAAGTTACCATTTTTTTTTTACATCAGACGTTTACTGTTACAGTAATTAAACTTAGTTATAACAAAGGCATGGGGACCTTCGAAATTACTTTGCTATATCCGTTATTTGTTATATCTGTATAAGGAATGTGTTAAATTTATATAGTTAGGGATCCAAGTTGACTTCGCTTTATCCGTAAATTCACAATATCCGTGTTTGTACTAAACGAGTTTTGCTGTATGGGGTGTTAGTGCTGTCCAGTGAAGAAAGTGGGTTTAAAAAGTGACACTTGAAATAATCATCTTTGACTTTTTCCCTGAAATAAAAAATAACATACATCTATACCCTAATTTAAATTCATTATTTATCTACAACATTTTTTTCATGTGAAAACAAATTGATATATTTTTCACTATCATGTATTTAATTCTAAACCAATTGTTAGTATTTACACCTTGAAAAAAATACCTCAAAAATATTTTAAGTATAACCAATGGAAGATAAAAGCAACCTAAAAAAAATTTAGTGAATTTACCATCACAAACTTCAAAACTTATGACCTCCAATTTCTTTAAACAGAAATCCCTCCAAAAGAATATTGTTTGGTAACGATACTGTCTGGTGTTCAGTTCTCATGCAGGGTCATTTGCAAGTTTTCTGTCTTTGTTTATTAATTTTTTAACTGCCTCCTGTTTCTGGTATATATTAACCTTTGTGTTAAAAAAAGACAATAAAAACATAAAAACAAAGATTATTTCCTAATAACTTGCAACTATATAGTTCATTGCTGTATACTGGATACTAGTATTTCTATTTAGGGTTCCTCTATTTATAGTGCCTTATATGCAACTTTCTTGCATAAATCATACATATATGCATTATGTATGTTAGGGATATTCATACTATTTCATATATACATGTATCCAAGTACAGTTGCATAATAGCTTAATACATATTCAATTTATGAATTTGTAAATACAAGAAAAACTTTCCTGAACAAATTTTGATTGAATACTTGTAAGTTATAAGGTGTTCCCACAATTAATTTTAAATTTGCTTTTGAATTAAGTATGGTAAGAGTATATTTCTTTTGATAAATAGAACAAAAAAAAAATTCTAAAACCTCTTTGATAAAATTTTTATTAAAACATATATCATGTGTTGACTCTGTTGAGAAAATTGAATTAATTTATGTAACAGTGTACTTACGGTTGCTCATATATCCTTTATTGGTGTCATTTGTATCATTTGTAACCTTTCACAGGTGATGCTCCTGTGTCACAGTTCTAAAATGTATCAATACAATCATAGTAGGTTCTACAACCAATTTTTGATTCTTTTTTTAAATTACTGTATCCCAAAACTTTATAAGAAACAAGAGGCCCATGGGCCACATCGCTCACCTAAGCACTAAGGGTAGGAAAAAGTAGAAAATGGTTTTTTATTGTAAAGTTTAAATCCAAAAGTAGTCCCATGACCAATCATGGATTTGCTATTTTTTAGAAAATGATTTTTAAAGAATTTTCCTATATATATCTTTAAAAACTTTGGTTGGCCATTTTGGCCCCGCCCTACCCCTGGGGGTCATGATTTGATCAAATTTGAATCTACACTACTTGAGCATGCTTCCATATAAATATGATGAATGATGGCTTTGTCGTTCTTGAGAAGAAGATTTTTAAAGAATTGTCCTATATATTTCTATGTAAAAGTTTGGTCGGCCATTTTGGCCCCGCCCTACCCCGGGGGTCATGATTTGAACAAACTTGAATCTACACTACCTGAACATGCTTCCATATAAATATGATGAATTATGGCTTTGACATTCTTGAGAAGAAGATTTTTAAAGAATTTTCCTATATATTTCTATGTAAAACTTTGGTCGGCCATTTTGTCCCCGCCCTACCCCGGGGGTCATGATTTGAACAAACTTGAAACTGCACTACCTGAGCATGCTCCCATATAAATATGATTAATTATAGCTTTGTCATTCTTGAGAAGAAGATTTTTAAAGAATTTTCCTATATATTTCGATGTAAAACTTTGGTCGGCCATTTTGGCCCCGCCCTACCCCGGGGGGTCATGATTTGAACAAACTTGAAACTGCACTACCTGAGCATGCTCCCATATAAATATGATTAATTATGGCTTTGTCATTCTTGAGAAGAAGATTTTTAAAGAATTTTCCTATATATTTCGATGTAAAACTTTGGTCGGCCATTTTAGCCCCACCCTACCCCGGGGGGTCATGATTTGAACAAACTTGAATCTACACTACCTGAGGATGTTTCCCCATAAGTTTCATCTTTCCTGGCACAGTGGTTCTTATTAAGAAGATTTTTAAAATATGCCACTAAATTTTCATTAATTCCCAATTATCTCCCCTTGAATGAGGGCGTGGCCCTTCATTTGAACAAACTTGAATCCCCTTCACCCAAGAATATTTTGTGGCAAGTTTGGTTGAAATTGGCCCAGCGGTTCTTGAGAAGAAGTCGAAAATGTGAAAAGTTTACAGACAGACAGACAGACAAACGGACAGACGGACGCCGGACAAAATGAGATCAGAAAAGCTCACTTGAGCCTTCGGCTCAGGTGACCTAAAAATCATGACATTAATAAAAGATTTAATTATCTGTGGTACATGTAGTTATTAGCATTAAATTATGATGAATGTTTATTTTATTAGCATTAAATTATGATGAATGTTTATTTCCTTACCAGGTAATTTTAATATTTAAAAAAAATTCTCACCTGCTTTTTACTGAAAATGAATTCTCAATGTATCTTTTCATCTTTATTTTCATAGTTCGAACTGTATTGGTACATCTAAAAATAAATTTATCATTAATTATTAAAATGAAATAAATTTGTGTGAATACATACCTTCAAGCTAGGGCATATCATTTTTACAGGGGCATAGTATCCGGGGGGGCCAGGGGGGGCCTGGCCCCTCCACTGTTTTTCCCAACCTTACTTACACTATAGGAAATGTTAATTGAAAGCCTGGTTGGCCCCTCCACTTTTAGAAATGTACCGAAAATGTAGGATAAGAATTGGTACTAGAAGTAGTTGACACTGAGAAAAAGTTTACCTACACCCCCCCCCACCTTTTTTCCCAACCTTACTTACACTATAGGAAATGTTAATTGAAAGCCTGGTTGGCCCCCGCACTTTTAGAAATGTACCGAAAATGTAGTAGAATTGGTACTGAAAGTAGTTGACACTGAGAAAAAGTTTACATACACCCCCCCCCCCCCCCACTTTTTTTCCCAACCTAATTTACACTATAGGAAATGTTAATTGAAAGCTTGGTTGGCCCCCCCACTTTTAGAAATGTACCGAAAATGTAGTACAAGAATTGGTACTAGAAGTAGTTGACACTGAGAAAAAGTTGACATACCCCCCCCCCCCCCCCCCCCCGAAATAGGATTTTCGACTTTGGGCAACTTTTACCTTTTTTTTTTTTTTTTTTTTTTTTTTTTTAGCTTGTCAACTTTTTCAGGTAAGTAAAAAAAAATTTGCTCTGCCTGGCCCCCCCCACTTTCAAAAACGATGCTACACCACTGTTTTATACATGTATTTCATTAAAGTGTGTATATATTGCTAAAGTTAATTAAAAATTATGGGGTTTTTTTCACAGTCAAACTGAATAGAGCCTTTATATAATATGCATGTGTTTACGTCCGTCTCTAATTTATACACACTTCCCTAAATATTTTTTAGCCCCCCCCCCCCCCCCCCCCCCCCAAATAAAACACACACACACTTAACAACAATGTCGTCTGTACCCGAAAACACATATTAATTTTTCGTTTCATACACACAAACCTAAGTTACATCTTCTATTACATTCTCCTCCTAATCAATAGTTATATGATTTTCAAGAGTAAGTTAATTAATTTGCTTTCTAAAGTAAACAAACATTTCTACTTTTTTTTTTACCTGTGCCTAGGGTAGATCCATTCCTACTGATTTCCCGGTGGCCGTATCCACTGCTTTTTAGTGTTTTCTTCCATTTGCATCATAATGTACGTATGGGTTTTTAGAATAGATGGAAACCCTCTAGTCAGACTTCATAGCGAGCGCAGCGAGCGTCGCGAAGCGAGCTCAATAGACTAACGTGTAAGAACAGAGGAAATTCGGATTGAAATCTGTACATACGTCAGCCAAATTTCTCTGTGCAACATTCCCAGAATTCCTGCACTACCCAATGTCCTTTGCGCGAATAAATCAAAAATAGTAAAAACAAGTTTGGCTTTCCAGAAAGCCTGAAATGTCATCTCTTTGGTATCAATAATGTCAAAGAAATAAAACAGAGAGGGAAATATTTTAATGCAATGAATATATGGATTATTATACCTTAAGTTCCCAAATGACTTATTCAGCAAACAGAAAACTAAGCTGACAGGTATTTTAACATAAGCAAGAGCAGTCCAAAGATTATTCCTACCCACGTAGCTTAAGTATTTAAACCTTTCGAAAGAAGCCACCTATACCTACGTTTTGTTCACTTTTAAGAAAAATGAGGGGCAGGGTTCCACGCAGTGATTTAACTATGGATACTACGACAAATCTTTATATAGAAATCTCGTCATTGTCAGTTCTCCTTGTGTGGCTTACCAATTTAATAAGGCATAGTATTGAGGATCAATAAATATACGACACACCAAAACTTTAGATATTTATAAGCATCGTACTTCTTTTCTAAATTTTCCTTGGCTTTCAAGGCAAATATGCCTAAACCGAAAGTAGATCACACACTTCTAATCTAGTTCTTCTAAAAGAAAACCAGTTTACAGGCTACTTGGAACTCCTCGTGTAGATTCTCCTTTGAGATATTGTAAAACATCGAGGATTCCCGAAAAATTAATGGCGGCTTACACTAGGACTTTACTTCTGGCATACAATCTTAATGTGTCATCTCCCGAGGGAGATGACAAAAAAATAAAGGAACATTGTTTCTTACCGAAATCTTAACGAAAAGATTTTGCCTTACCTTATTCAAAAAAATACCCCCATGCCACAACACCGGCCTTCACCTTGCCCTTCGGAAATGATACAAATGACGTCACCGGAAACTTACGAATTTTGATGATATGCTAATTAAGTCATGTCGGTTGCTTCCGTGAAATAGATAAATAAATAAACAATAAAGTAAAGCATAAAAAGCTTTCAGTTTGTAGAAATCTTTCAAAGAAACAAAAAATAACTCTGCAATTTTTTTCGACCCAAATTGCACTATAGGTCTATAGTTTCAAACAGACGCTCGGCTGTCTCCGTAAGCTCCGACGAACTCCGTGACGTCGTGTGACGTCACAGGTAGTCGAGATGCCTCGTGCGACTTGATGTTTGAAGTGGCTGATCAATTTTTTAGAGTGTTTTTGATGGTACAACTGCGCTCGCCCCAACGGTCACACCGTAAAACATATTAAATTTTGTTCCAATATTTCACAAGACCTGTCTCTTTCATTTTCATTAATTGATTGATGACTTACTTTGTCACTCACAACTTAAACATCATTTTCTCATTGTTTATTTTCCTGGTGTCTGTTTAGCCACATGTTGTTAGAAACTTCTTTTGAAAGGAGAGTTAACCATTTTTTGTCTTCAGTGCAAAAGAGTCAGCAAAGGGAAATAACTCTCGGTCAATTTTCATGAAAAGTGAGGATTTCAGGCGAATGGAAAACAACATTTAACTGATTTACCCACCTCAAATCTTTTTGTATCTTTTAGATCTAAGTTCTATCTTACTGAAAAAACCTTTTTTATAAGTTGATATTGCATGCAAAAATTTCTATGCACTTGAAGAAATAGGTACCTTTGTATTCATTTTATGACAATATTTGTGTAAATTGATCTGTATTATATTAAAAACCTTGAGTTAAATTGAATAAAATTTATATGCCAAGAAACTTTGATTAGTTAGCTATAAAATGAGACCCATGTTACGTTCTCAACTTTTCTACGTTTAGGAAGCATGGAATTATTTTGCATATGGTGATGACAATTAGGTCATTTTCGCCATGGCAAAATATTTTAAGGCCATTGCTATGGAAACCAAGGAAGCACTGTCCAAAATTTACCCACCTATAGTCTTTATATAGGACACTCTTTAATATTATATTGATAAAATAAAATTCCATGATAGTGCGTGGCCAAGCATTTTTGGTCCTTAGGCCAGCATTTTTTTATTTTTAGGTTTACGAACATCAGAATGAAAAAGTCCCGTAGGAGGAGGAAATAAAAATAAAAATAAAATTATTTTTGGGATACATTATCGACTTTTCTACATTAATTTTTGCTTCTTTTTTAGTCTTTCCTAACAGGCTCCTTGCAACTGAACACATAAGAGTTACAAAGGGGAAAATAAAACCTTTGTTTATTTCATCATCTACCAGTTGGGGCCAGTGATATAAGTCTTGTAATGTTGGACAAAAAAAAAAGATTTTTTAAAAATTATTTTTTAAAACTCTTTCAATATATATCTTCATTTTTGTTTTTAATATGTGTTAGGTGAAAGTGTTGAAATTGTTCTAAAATATACTTAACTTGAGACCTAAAATAATAATTCCTTTCATAAAACAGACAGGGAGTACTGGGGAGTAGGATAGAATTTTTTTTCAATCAATTGTAAAATAACTTTTCTGGCTGACACAAACGATACTACATGCCTGTATATATTTGATTATACTTGTTTTTTTTTTAATTAGTTGAAATATTTTATTTCTCTAGGCTATTGTTTATTTTTTTCCTCAAATGAACTTAACTTCTCTGATAGTTTTATTCATTACATCTGCTGCATAAACTACCCTTTTCTGAAGAATGATACAAGACTGTAAGCTATAACAGAGACCTAAACAATGTCTCTGATAATAGCTACCATGGGCAGTTTTAAACCTGTGGGAGGAAAATAATTTACAGACAGATGACAGATACTTTTGAATATGGATACGTATTTATCTCGCCAAAATGTCATCGTGCAACAAAGTCGTCAGCATTTTATTTGTTCTCAGAACGGGTGAAACGTTTTGAATGGCACTCCTATCGATAAATATTTACATTAAACCAACCTTTAGTGCTGCTATGGACTACATTCATTACCCGCCATCATGCATTTAAAACCGGAAGTACGAGTTCGTAAATTTGAAATCTCGATCCCGACTCAAATTTGACATCGGAAAGAAAAAATTCTGTTTTTCTCAATTTTATTTTTTTTCTGAAAATTCAAAAACTTGAGCGGCGGGTTTGTAAACCTAAAAATAAAAAAATGCTGGCCTTACAGAGAATTGATGTTATATGTTCACTAATGAATATCTTTGCTCACTTATTTTACAGAAAATGTCAGAAAGGTGATTACATCTAACTATAAAAATATCCTGGATGAAATGCAGATTTCGTTAGCAAAAGAAACATTATCTAAGTGCATCGGAGATGTTGATACTATTCAAGCGAAAATCTCACCAAAGAATGGAAAACGCAGGCAAAGAATGACCCATTTCTTACAGTTCATTCTTCAGGAAGACCACAACGTAATTCAGTTTGAGACAATGTTAAGAAATCATGGATTAGAATACTTGCTGAAAAAAAATGAAAATGTACGGGGAGAGCATATAACCATCCAGGACATAGGTCAGTGGAGTGTGATTGATACTGTTACAGTACACTTTATATATACTTTGAAATCAATGACATCAGATATTTCTACTTAGAATGTTATTGGTTTTTCATCTGATTACAGAGATTGTTATTGCTAAGGATCAGGTGCCTTCATCAGAGGGAGTCCTGTTTGAGTCCCTCCTCACCCTGTCTCCCAATGGTAAGTCCTAGGAGTACCTATGCCAAGGCAAAAGCAACTTAATGAAGAAGACATATACAAAAAGACTTAAAAAAGACAATAGAAGTTTGAAGTATTCCATTTATCTTCGTGACTATTGATAAGAAAATTTGTAAATATTAATTTCAGGGAATAATTGATAAATTAAGAAATTTACAAATAAGATGACACACAAGTTCATTACACATTGTCGCTTTTAATCAAAATTAAATCTGAATCATAGCCCTTAATTGATTTACAATGCTTTCTTTATGATTTAATAAAATTTTAGTTTGATTATAAGGCGTAACAAAAAAATATGTTTGTTTACGGTTACCCGACCGACCCTAATTTTCATCGCCGACCTAAACTTTTTTTTCTTCGTAAAAATCCGGAAGCTACTGGCCGCGGTCAGTTTAACTTTTATATTCATCTTTGAAATCGAAATTGAAAGTACAAAAACAAAACCAGCGAGTTCAATTTCTACACCAACGAGTTCGTTGCAATTTGCTTACCATTGCATGGCAGTTGCAGGAGTGTGCAACTAGCATCGCCTGATGCCCCGTGCTACCGTTTTTGGGTAGTAAAAATTAATGAAAATTTTCCAGGCAGCATGCTCCAACTGTTTTTAAATTACTTTAACCTTATCCATTTTGAAGTACTACCTGACTTATTTACTTCAAAAAACGATCGTTTTTTCCTAATCCGAATTTCCTCTATTCCTCTGTTAATGGTAAATCTTTTCATTATTTACGGTCCCCCAATCAATTAATAGCTAAGTGTTATGTGGTTAAACTTTAATATATATCAATTGTATTTAAAGGTTTAAAATGAAAATAAAATGATTTTGCTTCATTTTAGATAAGCTACACTGCTTGTACAATATGTTCAGAAAAGAAAATATAATTTCTTAAAATTTTTAAACTCTGCTCCCTGGTATTAATCAAACATTTTTGGTAAGCAAGGGTGCCTCTTCCAAAATTGTGAAATGTGTGGACCTACGGTCAGGGGTTCTTGTGTGGGAGGGGCACTACTGATAATTGCTGAATATTACTGATTAGTCAAAATGCGTTTTTTGTTCCCCTTCTTTGTCTGTGGGTATTAAGTAACCATGCTAAGCATGCTAAGTGTATAGTTATGATAAGCAATGGTGCCTCTTTCAAAATTGTGAATGCCATGACATCTAGTTTAAAACATGAACCAAATTCAATGGTTGAAAAGTATGTTGTTGCATGATGCTCAGGTGACCTGTAAGGCTCATGGGCCTCTTGTTTAAAGCAATGGTATGTCGAGGCGGCGCAACTTCAAAGATTACACTTTTTAGCTCACCTGAGCCAAAGGCTCAAGTGAGCTTTTCTGATCACATTTTGTCCATCGTCCGTCCGTCTGTCTGTCTGTAAACTTTTCACATTTTCGACTTCTTCTCAAGAACCACAAGGCCAATTTTGACCAAACTTTATACAAAGCATCCTTGGGTGAACAGGAATTTAAGTTGTTAAAATAAAGGGCCAAGTCCCCTCACAAGGTGAGATAATCAAGAAAAGACAAAAATAGGGTGGGGTCATTAAAAAATCTTCTTCTCAAGAACCATTGGGCCAGAAAAGCTGAAACTTATGTGGAAGCATTCTAGGGTAGTGTAGATTTTAAGTTGTTCAAATCATGACCCCCGGGGGAAGGGCGGAGCCACAATGGGGATTCAAAGTTTTACATAGAAATATATAGGAAAAATCTATGAAAATCTTCTTCTCAAGAACCACTGGGCCAGAAAAGCTGAAACTTATGTGAAAAAATTCTGGGGTAGCGTAGATTCTAAATTGTAAAAATCATGACCCCCAGGGGAAGGGTGGGGCCACAATGGGGAATCAAAGTTTTACATAGAAATATATAGGAAAAATCTTTGATTCTCAAGAACCACTGGGCCAGTAAGCTAAAATTTATGTGGAAGCATCCTGGGGTAGTGTAGATTCTAAATTGTAAAAATCATTACCCCTAGGGCCTAAAATAAAATTAAGTTTGTTTGCAGTTGCCTACTGACCCACTGAAAATGCACCCGACCCAAACTTTTTTTAAGCCATTTGGTAATTAATTTTTTCAGAATATTGAAACAGTTTCATTTTCAAATTTTGACACGTTTTTTTATCAATCAGTGGTTTATAAGAAGAGGTGAGCTTATTAATGTCTAGTAAGTGTATGAAAACCTCTTTAATTTGTTATTTAACAAAAATCTGATTTTTTTTCCAAAAAAAAAAAAAAAAAAGAATGCCTACCTACCGACCCAGTTTAAAAATTACAGGTTGGCAACTGCATACAAAGAATTTTTTAAGCTTGGCCTAGGGGAAGGGCGGAGCCACAATGGGGAATCAAAGTTTTACATAGAAACATATAGGAAAAATCTTTGAAAATCTTCCTCTCAAGAACCACTGGGCCAGAAAAGCTGAAACATATATGCACATAGAAGGATCCTGGGGTAGTGTAGATTTCAAAATGTCTAAATTATGATCAGTGGGGTAGGATGGGGATGCATTTTGTATTACAAGGGGAAATACGGTAAAGAACAGAATGGTCAAAGCTTCTTAGGTGAGCGATGTGGCCCATGGGCCTCTTTTTCTTACATAAGTTTAACTGAGAAAAAACTTTTTTATATGAGCATTTGTCATCCAAAAATGTCATTAATTCACTCATGCTGTATTATATTATACCGTAAATTTGCAATTTTAGTCCCATTCTATAAGTTCTATGAAATTTCATAGTAAATTTTATTTGAAATGTCCAAACAATTTATGAGGTGTAATGATGTCAGAAAGGAGAGGGGGATGTTCTTTTTCTAACATGCAATAAATTAAGTCTCACTCCCTGAAAAAACTGGCATAGAACTAGGAAATATTTCAATGGGCCATTGGAAAATAAAATGCATTAAAAGTACTTGTTTTAAAATGCCGAAAAAAGATAAGAGAGAGGAGAAATGTAAATTAAAGTTAATGTCGATTTGTATTAAGAGTGTTCAAAGTTTGTCACTTAGAAAAGTGACAATGATCATATGTGATAGATGTGGAATGCCGACAAGCAAGTACATGCTGTTATAATTAAGTTAGAATCTTTCACCATGTATAGATCTATTTACAATATCATATGCATTGAAATCAGCTGTTCATGACATTTTATAAACAAGGCGAGATTGAATCTTTACTTAACTCCAAGGAATCTCATCAAGATATGTGTATGAGGTAGAGAACGAGGACATTGAGAAACAATGATGTCATGCAATGGCGACTGTGTCGGGTGAACAAATAATGTCTTTTTATTTTATTATAATTCAGAAAAAAATTAATGTATCAAGCTGAAATTTTCAAAAATTTTCTAACTTTTGTTGTTGTATGTTCCTAAAAAATTTTGTAAGCATAAACTTCATAGTATTAATTTTATGGCATCTGTCTTCAACCTTTTCGAACAACCCTCGTAGACTACACTGAGATACATAATTATAAGTTTTGTGTTTTTGATGAACCATGTTCCCATGGTAACTAAAATTGAAAATTCTGTAAAATTTTATTAAAAGCTACTCCAACAGTTGTAGTCTTATTGCAATCTTGCCACAAAAAGAGACTTAATCAAGGATCATTATTCTATTTATTGCTTTTGTAAAGTTTTATATCCCAACTGCTACTTTTCTCTTCCTTTATTATAAGGACAAACCAGTAGAGCTACAGTCTCGACAGAGACATTTGGTTTACTTTTTAGCTCACCTCAATGAAGTCGAGATGAGCTTATGCTATACCCCCAGTGTCGGCTTTAGCGTCAGCGTCCCAGATTAAAGTTTTAGGAGCAAGTCCATTCCCAAGTAACTATAAGCCCTACCTGAACCAAACTTGCATGGATGATGCATCTAGGGATGGACACTACCAGACTTGTTTCGGATGCTGGATCTGACCTACTTTTTCATTCCCAAGTAACTATAAGCCCCAGCTAAACCAAACTTGCATAAATGACATATCTAGGGTGGACACTACCAGACTTGCTTCGGATGCAGCATGCTGGATCTGATCTACATTTTCATTCACAAGTTACTATAAGCCCTAGTTAAACCAAACTTGCATGGATGATGTATCTAGGGATGGACACTACCAGACTTGCTTCGGATGCTGGGTCTGACCTACATTTTCATTCCCAAGTAACTATAAGCCCTAGCTAAACCAAACTTGCATGGATGATGCATCTAAGGAAGGACACTATCAGACTTGCTTCTGATGCTGGATCTGACCTATATTTTTCATACAAGAGACCTGGTTAAAGTTTTGGGAACAGATCAATCCGAATGAACGTGAAGTCCTTGATATCTGCAGCAATAACAGTTATGAATATTTGTTTACACTATACATGTTTTTCATGCTACACGCGTAGAAATGTGTATATGCCATGTAAGGGGTTAAACACAACTTGCAAGAATGTTGTTGTTGGGATGAATACTAAATATTAAGAAAATATGATGTGAGATTTGCATTACTTAAACTGATAACATTCGTTGAGGCGAGCTTCATAATCTTTGATTACCTATGTTTGTCTACATCATAAATCTCAGAAATGGAAAGAATTATTTCTTTCACTTCTGATCGAGATGGGAAGAGATAATAAATTGACTTTTTTCTTGCAGACAATGACTATGAGGGTCTGCAGGATCCCCCCGTGCGACGTCAGTTACAGAACATTCTCCGACAGTATCCTGATGGACCCCAGATCATCAGGGTAAGTTACAGAACATCCTCTGACATTATCCCAACAGACCCCAGATGATCAAGGTAAGTTACAGAACATCCTCTGACAGTACCCTGACGGACCCCAGATCATCAGGGTAAGTTACAGAACATCCTCTGACATTATCCTGATCGTCCCCAGATCATCAGGATAAATTACTGACGGACCCCAGATCATCAGGGTAAGTTACAGAACATCCTCTGACAGTCTCTTAATGGACCCCAGATCACCAGGGTAAGTTAAAGAACATCCTGATGGACCCCAGATCATCAGGGTAAGTTACAGAACATCCTCTGACAGTATCCAGATCATCAGGGCAAGTTACAGAACATCCTCTGACAGTATCCAGATCATCAGGGCAAGTTACAGAACATCCTCTGACAGTATCCAGATCATCAGGGCAAGTTACAGAACATCCTCTGACAGTATCCAGATCATCAGGGCAAGTTACAGAACATCCTCTGACAGTATCCAGATCATCAGGGCAAGTTACTGAACATCTTCAGACAATATCCTGATGGGCCCCAGATCATCAGAGTAATAAACTCATCTGTCATAAAATGTTGATGAATGTGAAGTTTTACATGTTGCTCTATGAGATCTACTAAACTTCTGTAATTTTATGTACCCTGGCAGGAGCTGGTACAGAATGCTGAAGATGCTAAAGCCAGTACTTTCAAGGTTATGACATGTATGGAGGATAATTTAGGGGATGGAGTTTTTGACTACAAATACAAAAAAATCTTCCAGGTAAACAAAATTTCTCACACAAATAATATAATAATGACACAGTTATTTCATTTTAATATAAAATGAGCTTTTCTGTCACTGGGTGCCCTTGATTACTAGATGATTGTATCTTGTTTAACTTCCCTCTTGAGATATTTCTCTCGTATGGAGACATTGCCATTGCTGGTGAAGTTTCTTCCATGAGGGGATGCTCCGCTTAGCGGTGCTCTTGTGTTTCTTGTATTTGGTCTAGGATATAACAATGTGTTCAGCAATCATGAAATTGTAATTTTTAAAATAAAAAAAGTAAAGAAAATCTCAAATTTAAAGTTTAATTTTAATAAATTGATATTGCTGAGTGAAAAAAATGTAGGAAAATGAGTCTTTCTGCATGTGTTATCAATTTTCTGTTTGCTTTTAGGGACCAGCTCTTTGTACATTCAATGATGGCATCTTCACCGAAAAAGATTGGAAAGGCATCAAAACTATTTACGTCAGCTTGAAAGAAAAAGATGATACCTTTAAGATTGGACGATTTGGACTTGGGTTCAAATCAGTATTTCATCTTACAGGTACACATTTAAATATTCTGTATCCACAACAAAGTTGCGGAGTGGGAGGAGGTTTATAAACCTCTGTTTATTCTAAATGCAATTGTCTGTTTATGTAGAGGCAACGTTAAGGTCAACTTATAAATCAGTTCCTCCTATCATCAAGAGGTGTCCACAAAAAAATAGATATATAACATTATATGGCACATTGATGGCTACTTGAAGCTGTATCTAACCTACATATTGTGCTCCTTTTGAAAAAGTTTAGACTGAAATGAGATTTGTTCCAGGATTATCATTTATAATTACTAATATAGAAACAGTTTGACACTTAAATTTAAAAAAAGTCCATATGATTCTATGGCTAAATGCTTCATCTGATGCATCCAGATTTATTAAACATACTTGCCATATATATAAGTATAAATTGTTCCTCATATTAAATGTCATCTGGAAGGTGAAGTATTTAGAATATTTGCATCTGCATTAATGAGGACTAAATATTCTCCACTGTATTTCATGTGCTATTTACTGTTTCAAACTTTAACAGTTTGACATGATCATATATATATTTCAATTTTTGCACATGAAAAGAAGGGACTAAATGTGACAATAATGAATTAGTTGTGTAACATAGATGGATGAATAAAAACAATCATACATGTTAACTTTACCACTTTAAGAGGAAGTCT